CTGGATTGCCTATCGGCCCACACCTTACATCTGGATTGCCACCGAGCCCACAATACGAGTCTCCCTTAGTCCGTAACTGGATTGCTCCTAGGGTTTGTTGGCTACCGCACGGAGCAGTACAACCTCAACCCATCCCACATAACATATAACATAACTACTGAGCATGCAATAATCGTATAACATCACAGGTAGTCCTACAGGTCTACCTAACTGGCATAACCACTAGCATGCAACACTAACTCATACTCAACATCTAACACTACTAGGATAACATATCCAATGGGCCGGCCTTGGTGCCTTAGACCTCTTAGTATAGTGAGGATAAATCACCTGGCACTGCTGAAGTCCCGCAGATATAACTCCAACTGCTGGTTGACAGATTCCCCAAACTGTCAACATCAAACAATACCCAATTAATAATTGGGTTCCAAGCCCAAGGTCCAACTCACACTACAAGAACCCAAAAGTCAGTAATGGGCCAAAGCCTAACATATGGCCCAACTTTCCAAATTGGGCCCAGACCTCTACATGGTCTTTCCTTAAGGCCCATCCAATTATTCCAATCCAATTCCCATGGCCCAATATCACATAATCATAAAGGCCCAATTATGGCCCATCTATGGCCCAATTTTCCAAGTTGGGCCCAAGTCCTCACATGGGCCTTATCCTAAAGCCCATCTAATTACTTTGGTCCATTAACTTGATCTTGGATGGCCCACCAATAGTCCAATCGTCAAAGCCCAATAGGAAGGCCCAATTCAAGGCCCGAGTGAGATTAGGGCTTTCACATGAAATGATGATTAGGGTTAAGTGTTTCTTACTTAACCCATTAAGGACTTAATCCATTAAGGACTTAATCCATTAAGTCCATTATTGCCTTAAGCTAGTTTGCCAATGATTATTAATTATTATTTTAAGTTTAATAATTAATTCTCGTGTGTGTCCCAAACAATTCTCACAATTAGGGTTTTATGCTCTTAGGGTTTTCCAAACCCTAATTAGGGTTTACCAACCCAATACTAGCCCATTAGTCCATTGGTTGGGCTTTTAGGTCGCTTTGGGCCTTATTGGGCCCACTAGGGTTTTATTAGGTCAGTAGGGTTTCTTGGGCCCATTAGGGCTTCATTGGGCCCACTTTGACCAAGCATCCCCCAAACGAGTCAAACACAACAAAGCAAGCACACCGCCACCCGACACGGCGGCCGGTGGCGGCAGCCACCACCCTACGGTGGTGGTTTGAGCTTTTCTTTCATTATTCCACTTGTTACAATTTACAATACCATCCGATTAACACACACACAAACACTAATAAACACACACACAAAAATAACATCCTACAGAAGCATACACACCCTCCATGGCGGTCCTTGAGGCGGCAGCCACCATGGCCGGCGGCCATGGTGGTTTTTCTTGGGTTTTTCCGACAGCAGCAACCCGAGACACCCACACGCTTGCGAGACACAACTGAAACACACACAACCACTACACACACACCCGCACTTAACAGCGGCGGTGAGCAGCTGCTAAGAATACCGTCACAGTGGAACAGCCGTGTGGCGACGACGCCCACGACAATCCAACAGCGGAGGAACAATGGTGGAGGGCAGCCGCTCGAGCGATGGTCTTCCCCGGCTACGCACGACGTGAAACAACATCCAAACACAGCCACCCTCGCGGCGGCTCACCTTGGTCTCATTGCTTCCCTTCATATCCGACTACACGACGTTCCACCGTCGGTCTTGGTCTCTAGCAACGACAGAAATGGCGGCAGCGGCTAGCCTAGCGTTTGGCAGCGACTGTCGGCAACCCTTCGGAGTGGCGACGGCGATTTCAACAACGGTTCTCCGATCCCTAACCGGTGCAGCTACCTTCGACTGCTCACGATGGTTTCTCTCCGGCTACGCACGACGTCCGGCGACGTAGTGTTGGTGGTGTTCCGATGGCAAAACGGCAGACGACGAGGTGACGGCTGAGGCTAGTAGGTGAGGGAGGGGACAGCTGCATCCAACTATTTAGGGTTAGGGTTTTGAGGGTGACGGGTATAACAGAGTTAAATACCCCGAGCCCCATATGAAATATATCCCATAACAACCAAAATGGCCCCTCCTTCCCATACTTCTTTCAAAATAAATCCAATATTTACCATTTAACCCCCTCCTTCAGAAAATCCTTACAATTCAAGTCCCGAAATTACCAATCAGCCCCCTAAGTCTTTAATTCATTTCAATTTAAGTCCATTAATTACCAAACACACCAGGACTTCCAAAATCTCTTCAAATTAAATCTGGAACTTCCACGTTAACCCCCAGAGATTCTAATCTCGTCATTTGGCTTCCCGAAACCAACATCCCACTAATTATTATTCGATTTTGGGCTATAATAACATAAAACAGTAATAAAAATTACTTCTCGGGGTTCCGGCTTATTATATAATTATTCTACTTTAAACAGGATGTTACAAATTTCTTTGTCAGTTAAGAACGAATCAAGAACCCTATTGTTGAACTCTGAGCCATTGTCACTCCTGATCTTACGAACTTTTTTCTTCATACTCACTTCTATGTGCTTGATAAAGTCAATCATTGCTTGAGCTGTTTCATACTTTAAACAAAGAAAATACACTCAAGTAAACCTGTAAAAATCATCAACAATAACCAAGATGTACCTCTTCTTGTTGAGAGTTTCAATAGTCAAAGGACCACAAAGGTCAATATGAAGAATTTACAAAGGTTCAACAATCTTCGAATCAATGACAATTAGATGACCTTGTATATGTTGTTTCCCATGTTCGCAAGTTGCACATAAAGTATCATTATCAAATTTTAACACTGGTAAACCACGAACAAGATCATTTACCACCAATTTATTAAGATTCTTGAAATTCAGGTGAGAGAGCCTTCGATGCCATAGCCAAGTTATGTCTGATGAATCTTTCGAAAGTAAGCAAACCGAAGGAACACCAACTATTGGTTTGATGTCAAGGGTAAACATATCATCTTTTCTTTTGGATTTTAGCAAGACTTAGTTTGTTTCGATGTTCGAAATCACACTTCCTTCTTCATTAAAAACAATCTGATTGCCAGTGCCCACAACAAGTTCTGAAACACTTATCAAGTGGTGTTGAAGACCTTCGACATATGCTACCATGTTAACAGTGAACTTGCCATTCGTAATTTTACCATAACCTTTGACGTAACATTTGTGATTGTTGCCAAATTTCACCACTCCAACATTATCTAGACTTCGATAGTCTCACAAGTTTTCCTTCCTACCAGTCATGTGACGAGAGCAACCACTATCAATGTACCATTTGTCATCATATTGCTCGTCACACAAAACCTGCAATCAGTGAGAGAATTTAGATCCCCAACGTTCTTTGGGTCCTTGGTTATTAGAAGAAAATGCATGATGAAATGAAGATCCTAAAACCCAATTACGAACTTTGGATTTCAAACTATCAATTAAGTCCACTTCGTTATATGAGGGTATTGAAATAAAATCATTCGTTGGTTTAGAATCAACACTGAGTTTCCCTTGAACCTTTTCAGTTCGTTTCACATCAACTTTCGCTTTCAGAACAGCTCTCCACTGTCGAACCGATGGATTCGACTCCTTGGATGATGAGCTTCCACTTGATGATTCATTCGACTAGCTTTTATAAGCATACCTGATCTCTTCTTGAGAAATTTTTTCATTTTGATATTGTTTGCCTTTTCCTTCTAACCAGTGATTAATATTTTTGACATATGTTTTTCCTTTGGAAAACGAAGTATTACTTGGCTTCTTCGAAGGATGATTGGGAAAATGAGGTTGTGTGGTTTGAATGTCTCATTTCTCTTTGCATTTACATTCAACTTTTCAAAATGTTGTTTTAAAAAATCAGATTTTACTTGTGATTGAAAACGATTTTGAAACCGTTTTTGATAACCAACATTTTATTTTTGAAAAGCTTGTGGACCATTCGAAAATCCCTTTTGATTTGAAAATTGAGAAAAATTCCTTTGTTCATTTGGTTGAAAACCATTACTTTGAAAATTATTATATGAAAACCTTTTGTTTTGAGAATGATGAACAAAATTCTTTGAATGTTGATTTTTCACAAAATTCGCTTTGTTTGAGTTTTGAAAAATTGGTTTAAAATTTCTACTAGAAAAACAGCCTTTTATGACGCGCAATGCGTGTCGTAAAACGCTCAGATGACGCGCAAATGCGTGTCAAGGAAGGCCCTTTCATAACGAGACACGACATGCTTTTGCGCGTCGTCTATAGACGACGCGCATTTACGACGCACATTTATGACACACAATGCGTATTATTAAAGCCGCTGTCAAGAAATGAAGATGACACACATTTTTGCGTATCGTAATTTTAAATTTAAAAAAAAATTATTTATAGATTTTCTAATTTTCAAATTAAATTTGCATTTCATGTCTCATAATAGAAAATAAAATACCATATACAAAAAATACAATCCATTGCACAAAAGTTAATGTCATACACATAATCATTCCAATAGTAGATAAAATGTAATACATCAAATGTGAAAGAGATGAAAGTCATCAACAAATAATAGTTGAACTACAAGAACTTGTTGCCCACCTTCACAACATCAGAGCTACTTTGCTTGACACTATGCACATCAACAAGACCTACAAATTTGAATAATGCAACCATTAGATTCACATAAACCAACAAATCCCAATATGTAAAAATAAGTCAAAAAAATAAAAATAACTTTAAGAATGGGGTAATGAGGTAAAATATGAGGTTGAAAGTACCTGACAACCAAATTTTAACATACTAGTTCCTGTACAATCACCCTTCAAAGAACCAAAAAAAATATGAGATAATTATGATAAGTATCATTTTAAATAAAAAAAATTAAAAATTAATATCACCGGTAACAGTGTCAGGCTGCAAAACATTAAAAAGGTGATTCTATAATCTATATATACATGACTTTATGGGAAGTACCATTAAACAGATATTCATGGGAAATTTTAAGGGGTGAATGACATCTTCGCCCCTGCTGATGCCATCAACACCACCTGGATATAGAAGATTTCAAATGAGTTATTAAAAAAAGTTCAGTACTTTATTCATGATATGTTGTACAAAAATCTGAAAAGAAAAAAATAAATAACCATTAAACTTATGTAGGACATTAGTACAGATAGTGAAGGTAGTAAATATTCATACTTTATTCAATTTCTTGGCCAATTTAGGGATCCCACAGCAATCTGCCACTCTATTATACACCTGTGATACATCAACAAAAGAATATGTATCGGTAGCTGTGTATATGCAGAGAGGGGGGGGGGGATTGGGCCCTATTGGATGACTTTGGAAGAAAGCCTCTTCAGATGCAAGTGCATCATGTATTCCACGATTAAGCTTAATATCCTGTGAACATAGAAATGATGTTAAAAGATTATATACTATTCACAACCTTTCTCAAATAAAATTTAAGAATAAGTTACCTCTTGACAACGATTGACAACACCAACATAACCAAGTTTAAGAGGAATTGTTTTGCCAAGCAAAAGATTGCAGATATAAGTGCCTCTGTCCATGATATCCAACTGTAGTTACAGAGACAAAGAACTGTTCAAATTCCTTAGAAGAAAACAATATAAAGTTCACAAAAGTAAAGAAGAAGAAGAAGAAGAAGAAGAAGAAGTCGAAGAAGAAGAAAATGTTGAACTTTGTTAATACATACCCACATAGGTTCTTATTCAATTTTCAAAGAACCCATATAAATTAGAAGATGAAGAAATGAAAACAACCTGTACAGTTCTGGTGGCAAATACATATGCACCTATAATCATACAGTTGGCGAGCCTTAATCTGGGATAACTTCTTAGAAAGAGTCTAAACTTAAAAGAAAAGGGTATTTTAGTACTTCAATGACTTTGCAATTGGTAACTGAAAGTCTGAAACATGTACAAGTTTGACAATCTTACCCTTCATACTCAGAACCTATATCTGATAACTTATCCCTACTGAATTGAGAAAGATAACTTCTTAGAAAGAGTCCACGAAGAGGATGTTGGATACCACGACACATTTCAACAAGATCTTTTAAGATTTCCTTAGCAGGAGCCTCCTTTGACCTACACTACAAGAAAAAGACCCTTTTACGATGCGCAAAACACGACGCTCATTGATTTATGTTATGCAAAAGAGAGTGACATTAAAAAAGTAACATCTCTTCAAAAATTTTAAGAATTTAGGGCGCGCATTATTGCGTGCCCTTAAATTAGTGTCTAATGTAAAAAACTTAAAAACACGGAGGGCACTTTATGTAAAATGTGTGTCATCTCAATAAATGTCGCCTTATAATTTTAATGAAAGGCGCACATCTCTTGTTACAATAATCGAGGTTACTACTAAAATATCCTAACACTCAGTGTTCATCAGTCACTTCACTCTCTACAATCGATCGACTCTGAGACCTCGACTCGCCTCCCCTTGCAGACAACTTCTCCTCCGACGACGTTAGGTTACTTCTCCTCCAGCTGATTTCGCCTCGCCGACGACCTTGGGCTCAACTGACATCATTGGAGAGTGCTCAAATTTACGTGCCCTAGGTCCGATTAAGGTGTTCCTGTTGAAACGATTTAGGCAAAGTGAACTTCCCGGTTGGCCAGAGAACAAAGTAACAGAAGAGAAAGAGCAGAAGAAAGTCGACACAAGGGGAAGAAGCGCCTGGTAGCCATGAATCTGATGCTAAATTGAACACATTCAAGGGTTTCTCACCTACTGAAGCTTTTCAAGTTGAACACAAGGTAAATCTCAAGCTTCTCAAATTGTATGTAATGTTTTTATCCCCTTCTTTCATCTTGCGAACATTTGGTCTGCTTTTTATCCCAAACTTTCACCTTGTCCTCAAAGTGAAGAAAGGATTGGCTAACCGTGTAAGTATAATGTCAGTGGCCCGAGAAAAGAGACGAAAAATCCCTCAAACTTCTCTTTATCAAACTCCCATGTGAGATGTTTCTCTTCAGGTTCTTCAAACTTTGGCTCTTCTTTGGTGCTTAAAACAAGAGTCTTCCCCTCAAGTTCTTTCAACTGTCCAACATCATCTCTAAGAAATCCAATGAGGTTAGTCTTGTTTACTTGGCCAGATTTATCCATTTCGTTCATGTCAAGCTCTACATCCATAGCCTCAAGTTGCTCATTTCTTTCAACTGATTTCACCTTCCGTTTGTTGACCTTCTTTTCTCTACTTCCAGTTTCATCAAAAACCTTCTCAATCCTTAAGGCTCCATCCTAAGTAATAACATATGGTTTCTCTTCTATGGTGTCACCCAAATCCTTCACTTCATCCATCAACAAATTAATTCTTACAAGCTCACTTGTTTCCCTCTTCATCACTTGGGAATATTTCTTAGCAGTCAACCTTGTGGATCTGCCTGTGTTGTAAGCTCTGTGTACAGTAGTAGTCATCCTTGTTGCAGTGTCTTGGTGAGTTGATTTAGTCACCAAAGTCACAAAATCTTCACCCTCAATTTTGAGACTCAACCTTCCTCTAAATCCATTTAAAACAAGAGCCTGAGATATTTCTGTAAGTATGAGTTTCCAAGCATCACTATCTATTTTGGGGGAATCTGATGGGATCCAATTCCATCCATTTTGTCAACCAAATGTGTTTTCATTTCTGCCAATACCTTAGTTTCTCTGTATCACATGCAATTATCATATATATATATATATATATATATATATATATATATATATATATATATATATATATATATATAATACTGATTTTATGCTTCAGATTAATCAGCAAAATATCTTTGCTATCACATGCTTTTATTGTCAATAATTGTATATAACTCTAGTAAGCTGATTTATTGGCTAGAAATCTGTAACTTAGGCTGATAATTAGCTTGTGCATTGAGTATATATTGAGGATTCTTCTTAAAGAGAAGACACATCTTTTTCCCAAGAATTGGAATTGTGGATTCAGTTCTGTTGGAATTGGTTGACAATTAGGACAAAATTCAGTTCTGTTGGATTTTCTTGAAATACCATTTTTAGTAATCGGTTCACAGCCAAGAATTGGAATTGTGGATTCCAAGGAAATTGGAATTCAAGATTCCATTCAATGGTGCATTTGGTTGAAAATTCAGACAGAATTCAACTCTATCAAATTCCTTCAAATTTCAAATTTGATGGACTTCAACCATTCATGAGGGCAGGTGGTTTCAATTTCATTACTCTTTTTTTTATTAAATGACCAAAATACCCTCAATCACGGTTGAAATTTGGACATAATCTTTCCATAAAAAAAACACCAGAAAGCTTGTGATTCATCTTTCATGATGTATTACAAACATTAGCAAAATATTGGAGAGAGATCACTTAAACCCTGTGAGAAAGAAAAAAAATTATTTTTTACAAACATTAGCAAAATATTGTGTATAATAAAAAAACCACAAATAATTAACAATCAAATTTAGTTTTGCTGCAAGGTTCGTCTCTGGCACCGACGACATTAATAAAAAGGCTTTAAAGTAAAATGACTCTTTTGCCCTAATCTTCATCTTCTCAATCTCCTACATCTTAAATCATAAAGACCTAACTAAATTCAATCAACACCCAAAAATTAAAACTAAATAAAAAAAAAAACTAACCTAACAACCTTTAGTTTTCTGTTTTTTTCTTCAGTTTGTTGGTACCCTGGATCTTAATTTTGTTTTAGTTTACTCGGTGCCACCATTAGGACCGATACCTCAGACATTGATTCAATCTGGTGAAGATTCAAAATCTGTTGAGCAAGTTCTTCACCAGTAATTGTCCACTCTCACCTGTTTTGGCATCTCGAGTCTTTTTAACTTTAATCTGATCAGCGCTCCTAGCTTCACAACTTCTTTCCTGAACATACCCCTCTACATGTCTAGTAACATCAATGTATGCATCAATTATCACAGTACCATGATTTTTTACTCCTATATTAGACTGAATACGATTCCATTTGGCTGTTTCTCTTGAATATATATGCATCAGTTATCACAGTACCATGCTTCAAATCCTTCACACCAATGTTCTTCACATTGAACCCAACATTGTATTCAGATAAAAATTCGGTGACAGGTTCATTGTACGCAAGCAAACATGTACTCCCCACTAACACCTCATGTAGTTATTATATTCTATGCTTAGATGTGTTAACAATCATTCAATAAGCTGCATATTCAAATATCATTCTCTTAAATGTGTTAGTACCTTATGTGGTAAAGTGATGATAGCATGTTTGAATTAGTTTAAAGTATAATATCCAAGCTTGCATTATGTGAACCTTCCTTCACACATAACTTGGTAAATGCTAATGTTTGTTAATTTTTTTTCATAATTGTGCATTGCAATATGCATATAGTTACAATGAGTTACAATTGTTCTGTTACTTGCTGCAGCCTAAAAGGGTGATAAAGCAACAATTGTTTTGTTACTTGTTGCAGCCTCAAAGGATGATGCTATAAGAAATCTATTTAGTGCGAAAACCATTCACGAGTACAGTGCCCAGAGCCTGCTGACCTTTCTAGTATCCCTCACCTCCACTTTTACTTGACATCTATTTCGTGAAAACAAAATAATATTTAATAAATAGAAATTAGGAATAGGATATATATTGGTATAAAGAAGCCTTCTAAAATGAAACTTGATGCTTGGATATTTGACATATTGTAGGTAATTTTGTTCATATTGAAATAAGAATTGATTAATTATTGCAGTTAGAGTTTTTGGTATTGTGAAAGACAGTTTCTATTTTTTTTGTATTAGTAACATTTAAAAAACAAGTTTGAATGGAAAGTAGGGAACTTTAAGTAGAAGAGAAAAAGTAAGCAAACAACCAAATTACAAATGTAAGATTGATGATATACAAACAAATACAATGGTAAGTAAATTAAAAGATTAGAGTGACATCATTGTTAGTTAAATCTGTTATTGTTTTGCATGTGTGTCATATAAAGATGCGGGTCTTGGGTGCACATGTGTTATAAGAGAGAAACATTTTTTACTTTCTTGTCCTTTTAAATAGATATCTATCAAATGAATGGATGGAAATAGATAAGGGCAATTCAGTAAATAGATATGAAAAATATTATACTTGTGCTAATGGTGATATTCTTGGACTCACACCACCTTCACGCTCCATGTGTGCTATAGTGTATGCAATTCTCAGCTCTCTACATTAAAAAAGAACTCATCACAAGCAGAAGAAAACTATCATTTTGCAAGAAAAGTAAAAAATAACACTACCCTCTTATACTATCTGACATAACAAACTAATAATATGAAATGCCCAAAATACCCCTAATTCTCCTTGCATTAGTAAGATGATCTTTATTTGTCAAGAAAGGCCTGTGGGCAGTTTGAACATATGGAGACTTTCTTGAAAGAGCAACCTGTCCCATAAGGCAAAAAAAAATCAACATCAGAATTTTTATAACCAACTGCTGCACTCCAGAGCTTTCAGCTCCACCTCCCCTCATTAAATTTTTCTGTGTATTGACCATGTTAGCCTGGCATAATTCAACTAGTTCTGAGAGAACTTTCTGATGAGATTCTTTAAGTTTGTTTTCATGTGCTATGGCTGAAAGCTTCTGTTAATGAAAATCTCAAAATCCTACCTGAGAAAGAATATCAATATCAATAACTTCATGAATCTCTTGTTTTTGGCTTTGAGGTGACATCTCACAAAGCTCATCTCTCACTTCCTTCATTAACATAACAACATGAACTTGATATGAATCACATACAACAGAAACCAAAAGTGAACAACTCACATTCCTGTAAAGAGGCAATATAAATCTTTATTACTAACTAGAACTATAGCGAAAAATAAAAAATAAAGCTATTTAGCAAATTATGAACATAAAAAATATCACCAATAAATGTAGTTCTAAATAGACTATATGTATACATTACCCAACAATCAAAACATCTTGGTGGGTCATGGTTGAAAATCATTGCATCACATAGCTGCTCAAGTCAATACAGAAAAAGATAAGAAGACAACTTTAATTACATAACTGATGACATAAAAAAATATATAAATAAATAAATAAAAGTTAAATATTAACTGGAAAATAAAGAAATAAAGTGTACTTTTCCTGTTTTATAGAATCTGAGATTCCATCCCAGAAAGCTTTTTCCATTGCTCATGGTAGCAATTCTCTTCACAAAATTAGTTCTTTTTTTCTTTCTTTTAAGTATAGTCTCGAGAAATTTAAAAAATAATGCACCTCCCCTCACCAGAATGTTATATTTTTAAGTATTGACCCTCTGTATTTGACATCTGATTGGAAAATATTAACTGGAAAATAAAGAAATAAAATGTACTTTTCCTGTTTTATAGAATCTGAGATTCCATCCCATAAAGCTTTTTCCATTGCTCATGGTAGCAATTCTCTTCACAAAATTAGTTCTTTTTTTCTTTCTTTTAAGTATAGTCTCGAGAAATTTAAAAAATAATGCACCTCCCCTCACCAGAATGTTATATTTCTAAGTATTGACCCTCTGTATTTGACATCTGATTGGCCCCTGAACAGTATTTTTGTCAAGATTGGCCCCTGTACAGTATTTTTGTCCCTGTACAATTTTTTTGTCCCTGTACAGTTTTGGCCCCTGTACAGTTTTGTTTTTGCACAGTTTTTGTCCATATACATGCATAATCATTGTTGCTTTAAATGGTATATAATTATGTAGGTTGGAAACAAATGTTTAATGGATAAATTATGGATGTCCTCTAGTAGATTATCAACTGCATATGATGAAGGCGTGAATGCTTTTCTAGAGTTTGCACAAAGAAATAATCCAAAGTTAGATGTTATTCCATGTCCTTGTGTAAATTGCATCAATTTGTGTCACCACTCAATTGACAATGTCCGCTATCATTTGTTTGCCCACGGCTTCGATGAACATTATAAGATTTGGTCTTTCCATGGAGAAAAACAACCCAAGAGTGATTCTAGATGCCCTAACAATTCCATTCCTCCTGATGCTATTTATACAAAGGATATGCTACATGATGCCTTCAAATATATAGACGAAGAACCTGATTCATTGAAATCACTTCTTGAAGAATGTGATTAGCCACTTTATGTAGGGTCAAAGTATAATGCACTTAGTGGATTATTGAAATTCCAACATTTGAAGGGTCGGTTTGGATGGTCTGATGCTAGTTTGATGCTTTGTTATCTGTCCTAAAAGATACTTACCATCAAAAAATACCATCCCTAGCTCGATATATGAGTCCAAGAAGTTGCTAAAAGGAGTAGGTCTACAATATGAGAAGATTCATGCATGTGAAAATGATTGTGTTCTATTCTGGAAAGAACATAAAGATGCTTCTCAATGTCCAACTTGTGGCACTTCTCGTTGGAAGAAGAATACCAAAAACGTACCTTCAAAAGTTTTGTGGTATTTTCCTATCATCCCTAGATTTAGAAGAATGTTTTCAATACCACAAATTGCACATGACTTAACTTGGCATGCACAAGGTCGGGTCAATAATGGGAAGCTTACTCATCCTCGCGATACTCCTTCCTGGAAGCTTGTTGATAACACGTGGAAAGAATTCGGACAAGAAAAACGAAATCTTAGATTAGCCTTGTCTGCTGATGGTATCAATCCTCACAAGTCATTAAGTTCCAAGCATAGTTGTTGGCCGGTTATCCTAATAACATATAATCTACCCCCTTATTTGTGTATGTCAAGAAAATTCATGATGTTGACTCTGTTGATATCCGGCCCAAACCAACCTGGTAACAATATTGATGTATACTTGGCACCACTGATAGAAGATCTAAAACTCTTGTGGGAAACTGGCGTTGAGACTTTTGATTCTTATAAGAAAGAATACTTCAATCTAAGAGCAATATTACTTTGGACTATAAGTGACTTTCCTGTATATGGTAATCTTTCGGGGTGTGTTACCAAAGGTTATTATGCTTGTCCAATATGTTCAAAGAATACTTGTTCACAATGGTTGCCAAAGTCCAAAAAAGTATGCTTCCTTGGGCATAGAAGATTCCTACCACTTGAACATCCTTTTCGTAAAAGAAAAAAACATTTCAACAATCAACATGAGCACGATTTTATGCCACAACCATCATCAGGTGAAGATATTTATGACTATCTGGCACGATTTGAGACTACATGGGGTAAGAAGATAAAGTCAAAAAAGGTAGGATCAAAGAAGATAAAGTTAAAGAGGATAAAGTCAAAGAAGGGAGCGTCAAAGAAGGAAATGCCAAAGAAGGAAAATTCAAAGAAGAAAAAAGAAAGTATCGACGAGAGATCTAAATTTTGGCATAAAAAGCAATTTTTTTTGAACTTGAATATTGGAAGAAGTTGCCTGTTCGCCATCAGTTAGATCTCATGCACATAGAAAAAAATGTGACCGAGTGTGTTTATGGGACAACGTTGAATTTGCCTCACAAGACGAAGGATGGATTAAAAGCACGACAAGATCTTGAAGCGTTGGGCATTAAGACTGAATTACGACCTCAACCAAAAGGGGATCAACATTGGCTTCCACCTGCCAAGTACACATTGAATTCCGCAGAGAAACATCTATTTTATGATACCCTGTCTAACGTAAAAGTTTTGCATCGGTATTGCTCTAATTTCAAGAATCTCGTGTCGGATGATGTTTTAAAGATGAATGGTTTGAAGTCTAATGATTGTCATGTACTAATGCAACAAATTTTCCCTTTTGCAATCAAAGGGGTGTTAGATGTGAAGGTGCGGAGAACAATCCTAAGCCTGTGTCATTTTTTCAATGAGTTGTGTAGTAAAGTTGTTGATGTTAGTAAGCTAGGCAAGTTGCAAAGTGACATCGTATTAACATTATGTTTGTTAGAGAAGTACTTTCCTCCTTCATTTTTTGATATCATGACTCACTTGATGGTGCATTTTGTTAGAGAGGTGAGGTTGTGTGGCCCGGTTCATTTTAGGTGGATGTATCCATTTGAGAGATACATGAAAACACTTAAAGGGTATGTAAGAAATCATCATCGACCCGAGGGTTGCATTGCAGAGTGTTACGTGGCGGAGGAGGCCTTAGAATTTTGTTCAGACTACTTAAAAAACACGAAATCAATTGGCAATCCTCATGAACGTGTTGATGAAAGAATCCGCAGTGGCAAGCTTTTATCAAAGGCTACAATCGATGTTGTAGATGCTCAGTTACTTGATCAAGCTCATCTTTATGTATTACGAAACACTGCTGTTGTGGAGCTGTATATAGAGTAAGAATTACATGAAACTGTATACTCTTATACCATTATCTATCATATAAAACATTCTTCTAACTTGTAATACACTTCATGCAACATATGTTGTAATTGAAGGATCTGAACCCCCGTCACGCTCGCAAAAGTACATTGTTGCAGAGCCAACATAGTCTAACATTTATTAGTTGGTTTAAGAAAGAGGTTTATTTTTAAAATAAGATTGTTAGAATTACAATATTTTTAATTATTTTGTTTGAATTACATTAAGTAGATATTTTTCTAATAGGTTGAAAAACGTTTGGCTAACGGGGAAGATATTTGTGATGATGTTCGTTGGTTGGCCAAAGGGCCTAATTTTGCTGTTAGTAAATATAGCGGTTTTGCCATAAATGAGTATCATTTTCATACAACATCTCGAGATGAGTCTAGAACAACTCAATGTAGTGGAGTATCTTTAGTTGCACATACTATGCAGATTTCTAGCGCAAAAGACTCCAATCCTGTGTATGGTGTTGTTACTTACTTCGGTCGTATAAAGGAGATATGGGATCTTGATTATCACATGTTTACTATTCCTGTATTCATGTGTGATTGGGTTGATAGTCGTGGAGTAAAAAAGGATGATTTAGGATTCACGGTAGTTAACTTTGATAGACTTGGTCAGAAGTCTGAACCCTTCGTATTAGCTAGTCAAGCCAAACAGGTTTTTTATGTTCAAGATCAAGAAGATGAGAATTTGCATGTTGTTGGATTCACACCACATAGGATGTACAAGTATGGCTCAAATGGTGAAACTGATGATATGTTGGAATTTGATGCTACTTTTGATTTAACACAAGACTCCGCTTTATTAGACCTTGATGATGATTTTTTGTGTACGCGCCTGGATGGCGAGGGCATATTAGTTTAAATATTTTTTTTTGCAGAATAATAAAGTTTTTGGTATGTTTATATTTCAGATTTTGAATGTGATTAATTTTTTTCCAACTAGAACAAATAACAATGTACTTAATTTTATTTGAATCTTGTTGAAACAGGTTGTGTTTTTGTGACATGGAATAAGATTCAGCTTCTGATCACGATGAGGACTCCAAACAAAGAGGTCCGACAACAAAGGCAAAAGCTAATAAAGTGAAACTTGTAGTAACTTACAATAAAAAGGTGTCCCGGTTGGAAAGGAAGCCACAAAGCTGTCTACTTTTGAGGGTTTGGTTGCAAGAACAATGGTTCCCATAACCTATGAGTCTTGGCTGGAAGTTAGTGAAGAAGTAAGGGAAGGGTTATGGCAATATGTTTTGGTAAGTATCTGTTTCTTCCTGTTATTACCTGTTTTTGTCCCTGTTTTTTAACCAAGTTATATTATCCACTGTTTCTGTTTTTGTCCCTGTTCAGATCTGTTTTTTAAGCAACCCTTTTTTTATGTTTCAGGAAAAGTTTGTAGTTGACCCAAAGAGCCGGAAGCAAACTCTCCAATCGATCGGGAAGAAGTGGAGAAACTTCAAGCATTATCTATATGCCAAGTTCATTAAGAACCGAAGTAAAGATCCCAAGGCAAATCTATTCAAACATCCGAAAGATTATCCGTTTATAAAGAAAGAAGACTGGAAAGTTTTTGTATCCCATAGAGTTACAAAAAAGTGGGAGGTTGGTTAAACTTTTCTTATATGCATTTATATCCCATAGAATTACAAAAAAGTGGAAAGTTAAAAGTTTGTAGTTACAATTTTAATGTTTCTAATGTAGGAGAAAAGTACAAAAGCTAAAAATACCCGTGCACATCATAAATACAATCATCGTTTAAGTTGAAAAGGATATGCCGGACTCATTAATGACATTGTATGATTCCCACTGAGTATTGATTATTTTATTTGTATATATTTATGTTAATTGACTTTGTTATTATTGATAATTTAGATGCAAGAAACCGGCAAGATGGAATAGGAGGTTGATAGGACACTGTTGTTGGAAAAAGCAAGAGAGTTGAAGACAAGAGGATACAAATCAAATGTCAAGATGATTGTTGATAAAATTGTAAGTTTCATTGAATGCCAAATATATATAAAAAAATAACATTTGTCCCATTTTTTTTCTAACATTTGTCCCAATTTTTTTACAGGATGAGCTGCAGAAATCTGGAAGCTTTGGAGAGGTTACATGTGGAACACATGATGTGCTTACAGAGGCCTTGGGTACTCAGGAACAACGTGGGTGTGTACGAGGGATGGGTAAATTTATAACGCCACAACAATACTTTTATTTACCCAAGAATGTTAAGTATTACTTGGAGATTGAGAACGAGAGGGTGGATAAACGAATCAACAAACTTGAAGATGACTTGGAGAAACTAAAAAGAGGTGTACTTAATGTTTCTGAAGCTGCAAGTTGCCAAGTAAGGGGCGTCATTGAAGATGTTGAAAAAGAACCACGGGATGAATCACTTGTAAGTCCTTGAAGACAATTATGAAAAATATATTTAAAGAATTTTCTTTTTCTACAAACTAACATACTATATTTTGGTAGGATAATTCATGTCTTCTTGCGGTTGAATTTGCTGCAAATGTAGTCGCTAAAGGAACCATAATGAAGTATAGTGCATCGGGTATTTTGAAAAATATTTGCATTATTACTATTTATATATTTTCATTTTTTAGAAGATTGGATCTTAATTATTTTTTACGTTTATGTAACAGATGAAAACATTGAAGTTATGATGGAAACAATTTTACAAGGAGAAGCTTTAATACCCATTCCACTTGAAGAGGAGTTCATTGTGAAGGTCAAAGATGCACTGGGACACATACTAAGTTGGCCAAGACACTTAGTTATTCGATGCTCTGACCTTGTAATACTATTTGCACACAAAGTTTTCACAGATTTGTCCTTGGTTTTCTTAATTTTTCTGATATTTGACTGAGTTCTTTTTCAGCTTCAGTAAATGATTCCTGTTTCATTATGTATTTTTGATAATTTTTGTAGGGAAAATTGGTGGCGAAACCTGTGAAAAAACATGCAACACCACTGAAGAAAGATGCAACACCAGTGAAGGAAGATGCAACACCTTTAAAAGAAGAAATAGGAAGTAATAAGAAAGAAAAGGGGACATGAAAAATGAGTGATGAAAAAAAAGAACCATGTGATGTGGAAGAAGGGAATGATATGGAAGAAGGGAATGGAATAGAAAAAAAGATTAAAAAGAAGGAGAAACAAAATGTGACCTTGCAAAGAAGGTGGACCAGAGCACAGATGAAGACAAGGATAAGGATCGAGAAGAGTAGCATTTTGAAAATGACTGCAATGATGGCTGATGGACAAGTTACAAAGGTTGATTCTATAAAAGTGCAGAGTGAGAACGATCTTTTTGAGTACGATAGTTACACGTACTTAAATTGGGATGATTTTGAAGCAGTTCTTACAATGGATGAGCTGACTGGTGCTGTCATTATGTCTTATATGATGTAAGTGCAAGAAATTTAATTTAAATAACATTGTGTCTTAAAACAAAATTTGTTTAATGAATTTAGTGTTTGTATGATAACAGGGTGTTGTTTAACAAAATGAAGTATGCCCCCCAGAAAGAGATCATGAAATTTGCTTTGTGAACCCGACATTAATCTCGCCAAGTATGCGTAAAGGGAAATCTAAGAATATTGACGATGCAAGCAGAGGTTTAGCAAATCGGTTGTCTAATAGAAAGGGCAAAGACATCATCTTTATGCCCTACAATCCCGAGTTTGATTTTGACATTTTATTTTGAAAATGACTGCAATTATCTTATTTGACTTAATTTTGTTTGTGGTTTTTGTAGAAGACATTGGGTATTGGGTGTACTAGACATGAAATCAGATACTTGCTATTATCTTGATTCCTTGAGTTATGGCAATTTCAATATGCAGTTGAAGCAAATTGTTGATTCGTAAGTAATATAAATTATCAAAACATTTGATGTGAATACAATAAACACCTATTTGTTAATGTTTTTTATAGGGCAATGGTTCTGTACGCTACACAAAGTGGATCCAACAAAAGGGTTAAACTAAATTGGGTTAATGTTACGGTCAGCACTTAATTCCTTATTGAAATTGCAGTTTTAACTTTATTTTTTGGATCAATTGCAATGATCATTTTATATGTAATTGTGTAGTGTCCAGTTCAGCCCGGATCTACCGAATGTGGCTACTACATGCTAAGGTTCATGAAGGAGATAGTGGAAGAAGGAATTGAAGTGTTGGTCAAAGACAATGTAAGGATATAGCATTCTACTTTCATTACTATAATTTAATAGGAAAGGAATTGAAAAAGGATCATTTTATGGCATCCTACTCTCACAATTATAATTGAAATATTAGGTTACATGCAAAAATAACAATGTGCTTTCATTTATTTGAAAGTACAATGCTCTATTAAGAAAGAATAATTTGATTTTATGCTTATTTGTTAAATATAGCAACTTACTGTTATAGAATATGTTAATATGCTATTTTTTATTAATAAAAACAATTTGCAAATTTTTTCACAGATCGGGGATGGCAAAGTTGAGTACACAACTGATGATATCGATGAGATACGTGAAGAATGGTCAGAGTTTGTTACGGGCTTCATTTATCGATGATATGTATGGTCTTTTGACAATGTATCCGCAAAACAATGTTATGGTTAACAGTGAAATGCTAGGTATGGTCTTTTGACATGTGGTGTAATGCTAGGTAGTCTTTTGACACCCATATGTACATGTTTTTGTTAACTTTTAGTAATGTTACTTAGGTAACTTGACATGTAGTGTAACTTAGGTAATTCGACATATATGTAATGTTGTTATGTAACTTGTTTGACGTTTAGATGAAAATGAATGTTTTCGTATATATATTTGTTTTTTTATTATGTGTATTCATGTTGTAAATGTGTGTCGTAAATGCACTTCGTAAAGGTGCACAGTCAGTGCAGCTGGAATTTATGACACAGATATGCGTGTCATCTTCGTTTATGACAGTAGATTTAATGATACGTATTGCGCGTCGTAAGGTTACGACATGCAAATGCGTGTCGTCTTCATTTATGACAGGGCTTTCCTTGATACGCATTGCGTGTCGTAAATGCGCGTCGTAAATACGCATCGTAAATGCGCGTCGTCTGTAGACAACGCGCAAAAGCGTGTCGTCTCTCGTTATGACAGGGCCTTCCTTGACGCGCATTTGCACGTCATCTGAGCCTTTTACGACACGCATTGCGCGTCGTAAAAGACTATTTTTCTAGTAGTGCTAATGTACACATATCCTACTGTACAAAGTAGATACCTGAATGAATGAAAGAAACCAGGAGTATCAAAAACTGATAACCATAACATATAATCAAATCACATCTCTTTTCCTTAGCAGATTTATTCCAACATCTCATAAGCAATGGCCTTCATAGAAATGATTACTGATTCTATCATAGAACTTTTGTAAACAAAGAATAGTAGCAGGTTATCTTTGCATTACTAGGAAATATTACTACCTAACTACCTAACATAGTACTAACAAGAGGTAAATGGGTAAGGTTTTCTAGTTTCCCACTTACAGTCTCGGCAATATGTTGCTTGCATGCTGCACAAGTTCATACAGCTCAATAAAATCGTATTAGAATCTTTCCTGTTTCAGGGTCCAATCTTCTACCAACACATCTATCAATTAGAATTTCATCAGTGACCTGCATTTAAGGGATTAAATTATAACATATAAAGAATTAATAACAAGATATGTGTTAATCTTATTATAACTTACATCTAGAACAATGAACACATCTGGTCTGATCTTCATCTTCTCAAGTGATTTTGCTTGGGGAAAACTGCATGGAAAACCATGTAAAAGCCATTTGTGACAAGTTCATCTGGAACAAGGCGTCCTGAATTCATGTACTCTTTTGCTTGATTTCCAATCTCAGAACCTGTTTCTACTTCACTTCTAAGTAGATCTCCAGTTGATATGTGAATCATATAATGTTTAAAACCCTAACTCATCTGCATATTTCCTGTTAACAACACGAAAATCACCAAACCCATAGCCGCTATCACAATCGCAAACATTAAGCGTAGGATAGCAAAAACATGGGTTCTTTTCCCCTACCCTTCCTCCTTTTCCCTTTTGTCAATGAACCACTGAATCTCATCTGTGGTATTTTTTTAACTCGTATTAGCCATTTAGGGGTAAGTGTGCATCCCTTGTTGTAGACCGATAACGATGGGAGATGGATGAATAAACCGATGTAGAAGGAGCCTTTGTGTGTCGATCTCTTTCAGAGGAAGGTCTAGAGAAGAGTATGGATGGCGGTGGAAGAGAGAAGCAACGTCGGTTAAGAACGACGATTGAAGCGGCGGGGGTGAGCGTCAGCAGAGACGGTGGAGGAAGTAGATCGATGGAGTTAGGGTATACCGGAGGTGGACCGGGACTGAGAACACTCAATCGTAGGCGAGATCAACAATTTGACAAAGATCGCTTGAACATGGACATACATCGTCGATTATGTGTGTGGGGAGAAAGAAAGACGCATCAAAAAAAGATTAGGGCGAAGAGGGAAGTGAAAAAAGCGGGCTTTTCTAATTTTTGGGCTTTTCTTTTCCCGCTTGTTACTAAAGAGCACGTTTCATTAAAAATTATGGAACGACATTTTTAGATGACACACATTTTATAAAAAGCGCCCTCCGTGTTTTTTTTGACACTAATTTTAGGGCACGCAAAACTGCGCGTCCTAAATCCTTCAAATTTATAGAGAGATGCCATTATTTTAGGTCACACACTTTTGCGTATCGTAAATCAATGTGTATCATAAATTGTGCGTCGTAAAAGGATGTTTTTCTAGTAGTGAATTTGATGACAAAGCTTGTTTTTGACTTTTTGAAAACTCTTTTTATGATTGACTTTTTAACAAATCTTTTTGAGATTGAGAGGGTGTTTTCTTAATAAAAGACTTGTTTTGAGAATTTGTCTTAACTGGTTTAGACTCAATTGTTTCAGACGATTTATTGGACGTTTTGTTTCTTTCGAGACTCAATAATTTGCCAATAAACCTTCTTTCTTGCTTTAGTCATCGAAATCCCTTGTTTTTTTGAAATCTTTTCAATTTGTTCTTTGAAATTTTGAACATTTTGTTTTGACTTTTTAGAAACTTTTTCTTTTGATTGTTTTTCATCTTTTGGTTTGTCAGTTTTAAGAACCCATTTTCTTTGTGATTTTTGTCTTTGAAAAGTGGAAGAGTTCTTGTTGAGATTATTTTCGACAGTGCTTTGGTTGGAGAAAAATCTTTCTATCGAAGCTTTCTTGTTATCTTCTTCAACAATTTTGTTGATTTCAGGTTTAACTTTATCACCATTCCCAGTGGTAACAAACACCTGATTTGGAAAGATAACTTCATCTGTGCATATGAAGTTTGGATACACAACCGAATTTGATTCAAGATAATGAGAGCCTTTTTCCTTCATTATTGTGTCGAACTTCCCAGTTTCCTCATAGACCTAATCAACTACAACCCGGGGTATGGTTGTTTCTTTCGAAGCATCATCATTATCATTATCACTGTCTGTTTGACAATCTTCGATAGTCACATGGTCAGGGTCAAGAACGTTCGAAGTCAAGGGTTGGTCAATGTCAACTTTCACCAAAGAATCATAATAGATTTCTTTACCCTTACCATTGAAGTGACATTAATGAGAAATAACTGAGAATAATCAACAACTTCCTCCTCCTCAATTTCACTAATATCATCAGAGTCTTCTTCGATATCAGCAAAATTGTTTTGAGAGTTAGATGTTGAATTCTCAGTTCTTTTCAAAATTTTGATTTGTTCATTTTGGTCAAGGTCTTATTCACAATATCAACAAGATCATTTGCATCTAAACATTCAACAATGTTAACAACACCATATGCATATCTATCATCTGGAACCTTATCAAACTCAGAAATTTTCTTTTCACATTCATAGGAAGTCGAATCAATTTTCTCCCTTTCGAAAGCTAAAAAGGGCAAAAGCTTCCTATGCTGTTCTTTGCTAATGTCTGATGAATCATGCAATGCAGTTAATTTTCCATACAAGCGTTTAGCTGAATTACAATATATATTTCGTTGTTTCAGCAAAATCTTAACATCAGAACTCATACTGTCTCTATCACACATAATATTCGTTATTTGTAAATCTAAGTGTTCTATTCTAGCCTTCTTGGATTCCAAACATCTCTGAGTTTCTAGCAGTAAAGTCTTAGACTTTTCAACATCACTACTAGCAGAAATTAGCAAATTATTAACGTAAGGAATTGCTTCATCAAACTCAAATAACATCGAATTATATGCATTAGAAGGAATATTAAAGGACTAAAGAAGAGAAAGTACCTGCGAAGTCATAGGAGACTTGTGAGCAGTGGTCGAAACAAAGCATGTTCCTGTGACATTCTCCTCATCCTCTTCCTCGAAACGTGCGAACATGGCTCCGTGAGTTGGGTTTCACATCTCCTCATCATCTGATCCTAATGATCAGATTTGATAAGTCCCCTCCTTATCATATAACCCCTTCGCAACCAGAGACATCCCGTTAGTCTTCGCTTTCACTTCTTTAAGCCTCTCCATGTAGTAAGCTTCGTCCTTGACTCTACTCTTCTTCTCATCTCGCTTCCTCAGCATGCAATCACTTGCCATATGATTCACTCCATTGCAATAATGGCAGTCGAATCCAGAATCTCCCTTGATCTTCTTCTCTATCTTTGCTTCCTCAGACTTCACCTCCTTCTTCTCTACTCTATTCTCATCATTTACATTTTTCCCAGAAAAACTTCCCTTCATTTAACTTGTTTTTGACTTCGGATTAAATGGGGTTTTGAAGAATTTCTTCACACGATTGTTCGAATAGAAAGCCACAGCTTCGTCTTCAGAAGTGACGATTAAACCTTCATCATCCGAACTCTCTTTTTCAGCAGCTTCTTTCTTAACATCCTTACCAGCAAATTTCGACATCAGTGCCAAAGGACCACCCAAACCACTTCTTGTTTCTTCAGATATCTCATTCACTTCGCTTTCACGTGCCTTCAACACATTATAGAGATCATTGAGAGAAAACTAGTCAAAGCTTTGTTGAGTTTTTATCATTAGACTGAGATTACGCCATTCTTTGCAAAGTCCCATGATGAAAGTCAAGTTGAACTCCATTGTTGACCATATAACTCCATATCTGTTGCACTTGTAAATCAGTTCATTCAGAAGATCATAATAGAGCTCAATAGATTCTCCTGCTTTTTGTTTGAATTCTCTTAACTCCAACAGACACTGCTTAACAGAGCTTATCATCGTCTTCTCACTACCTTGCTAGTTATCCTTCAAAGTTTCCCAAATTTCCTTTGATGTCTTGCAACCACGTACATATTTGTACACAACAGGTGGAAGAGCACCACGTAATTCACGCAAGCATCATTTCTCATTTTTTAGCAGTTTCTCAGCTTGTTGAGCAACATCTGGATTGTTAGCAGCAGTTCCAACATTTTGCATCGCAGTAGGAGCACGAATATCTTCAGTGATACATTTCCAAAGATCCTCATCTATTCCATTAAGATAGTCCTCCATTCGATCAGCCCATTGATCGTAAAATTCCGGA